GACTGGCTGGTCGCCAACCATGTCAAATGCCCTTCTAGATTGCGTTGATGGAGGGACGGGCCGAGACCATCTTCGCCGGCCTCAGGGGCCGCTTCTGTGTCTCGACGACGTTGGCGATGGGGGTTCTTCGCTAGACGAGCGTCGCGCTCTTCAGTGGTTTCACCCTCCTTGGTAACACTATCATGGCTGACGTGGAAAATCATGCCCCCGAACCCCAAAGGGAAAGTAGGGTAGCTCGACAGGGTCCTGGTCTAGCCCTCGGAAGAATCGTCGAGGCTTTTGTCCAAGACGTGATGAAGAGATTCGGTTAGAAGGGGGGAATCCTCCGAGAGCTGACGAATAGCCACCATGTTGACCACGGGCGTAGGCTGACCGGGGTCAGTTGGGTCGATCACGTAAAGGTCAATGATGTGATTGCGTTTGACATGGTGGGCGAAGAGGTGGTGGACGATGTTCTGATACACAGATCCTACACCCTCCAGCCCAAAGGGGTAGGGCCTCGGCGAGTTCTCCATTAGGGCTTCATAGTCATCCAAGCGAAGGCCGGTGGCGGGCAGTGGTTGGTGCCGCACCGTGCGCCCTTCTAGAGTAGCCGTGATCACCAGATCGAAATCTATCCGCCTTGCACGGTGTGGCCAAGCAGGTCGCTCGGTCACTATGGCTTGGTGGTCTCGAAGCGCAGGAAAATCGCCGCTCGCTCTAGATTGATCTAGGATCGAATCCACGAGGAGCTGGCATTCTGTCAGGCGATCTGTGACCCGATCGATGGATGCAATCAGATCATCGTTGCTGATGGATCTCCTGATCTAGCGATGTGGCGCCGGGACCAGAGATGTCATTGCTGGTGTTGGCATGATCGGTGCAGGGTGATCCTACATCGGCTCCACGATCTCCTCATTGCCGCCGGGGCCGATGACCCAGGTCATGGATCCGACCGTGAAGATCTGGCCCGGCTCGAGGGGGGCCATAGAGCATGACAAGGTGACCATCTGGTTCGCCATTGATTTAGCACGCACACTCCCTACCTGGCGCACCAAAGTCGACGAAATCTGGTCGGTAGTCTACCGAGGGGTATACCCACGGTAGTAGATAAATCGGTGGTGATGCGCGTGAGGGAACTGGATGGTGACACAGAACGCTAGAGACGATGATTTAGATAGGTTCAGGCCGTCAACTCGACGTAATACCCTACGTCCTGTGTCTCTGTGGTTTGTATTGCGTATGATTTGATCAAAACAAGGGGGGTCCCTACCCACCTTATATAGCTTGGGGTAGGGTTACAGATCGGTTACTTCCATTCCTATCGATTTACAAGATAGGAAGTTACAGATCGTATAATACCTATCATATCCGAGCAGATTTCGTCGATCACCGATAATCTTTGCGTTACCTTGTGAAGCACGCCGTCCTGCGGCATACTTCGTACGTCATTGTCTTGCGAGATGGGCCCCGACCGGTGGCATGACCCATGCATAGTCTTGTAGGCTGGGCCTCCCCTAGCGGCTCGGCCCATGTGGAGTCTTATGGTATTGGGGTCATACCCCACAGGGCCCCACTTGTTCCATAAAAAACAATATAGATTTTGGATAAGTAATCTGAACTGTATTCAAGAAATGAAAACTTGAAAGCATCAATCCCTACAAGCAAAGCTCGTTGGTCGTGTAGATTATTAGACTTGATTTTGGCAGCTTAAATTTATTATATAGATTTATTATAAGCCTGAATAAACAAGTGCATCTAGCAATTGTCATGGCCATGTGGTCTACTTTCACCTCTCAACATGACCTAGTGTGCTTCACAGCTCACTACGATCGATCACCTTTTTTTCGCTTACTTGAGATTACTTTCGTGCAGAATCGCTCAGCAGAACTGGCTAGCTCTATATAAAGCTGCCCTTGAGTAGTGTAGTGCAGCAAACTGAAGCTCCACAGGCCATCCTTCCATGCACACTCCCATGGCGAGCTTCCCCATGCCGCCGCCTGGTCATTTCAGTTCTACTACTATCGTGCTTCTTCCTTCTCCCGCTTACCCATGCAAGCAGGCTTCTCCTTGCCGCCGCCGCCGTCAATGACAGCAAATCATTTTCCATCAGAGCCGGCGGGAGTGGGGAGGGTGGTGGCCGCGGTTTCGGCGTGAGCATCAGCCACGGCGGGCACGACACGTCAATCGGCATCGGTGGCGGGTTCGGAGGCGGAGCCGGCACTGCCCGTGGCGGCGGCGCGCGAGAGCGGGGCCGGAGCGGGTTCTGGTGTTGGCATCGACGTTGGACATGGCGGGGTCGATGTCGGGATCGGCGGCGGTGGAGGCGGCTCGGTTAGCGCCGGCGGTGTGCATGCCGGCGCCGGTGGTGGAGGCGGTGTTGGTGTTCACATAGGCCGCGGTGGAGTGAGCGTGAGCACCGGTGGTGGCGGCGGTGGCGGCGGAGGTGCGGACGGGGGAAGCGGTGGAGGCGGTTATGGTGGTGGCAGTGGTGCTGGACGCTCTGGCAACGCGGTGGGGAGCGGCGGAGGGTACGGAGGTGCGAGTGGTAGCGCCGGAGGTGGAGCAGGCAGTGGAGTTGGGTCAGCCGGCGGAGTTGTTGGCGGCTCCTCTGGAGGTGGTGGTGGCCAAGGTTGAAGCAACTTGTCTATCTTAATTAATTCAATAATAATATACGTATTAAGTTTGTAGGAAATAGTATCCCAAAAACTAAAGGGCATGTATACCCATATACTATCGACATGGATGATGCCATGATGCGATGTGCAAGTTATATATGCCAGCCATATTTGTGCATGCATGCTAAAATGTGTGTCTATCTAGTTGTGCATCTAGCATATATGTGCTTTTTTTAGGGCAGCATCTTGTATGTGTTTGTGTTGACAAGCTTGCGCTATGTACTGCAACGCTAAACTAATTGTAATGTATCTCTACGATATAAATGGATGAATGAAATGTATATGGTGTATATTGGTATACTAATATGTTGGTATCCTTAAAGTTACACATGGTATACAGTCCACGATAGATATAATTCTAGGTCCAATTAGAGTCAGGCTATCTTAGGGCCTACTAAGTTTGTAGGAAATAGTATCAACATGTATGACTTCAAATAGACTAATGAAAATATATGTAATGTTTAATCTAATGATATTTATTTAGTATAATTAAAATTAGTACCTTTTTTACATAAACTTTGTTAAATTTCAGATCGTTTGACCGAGCATTATTCTAAATTATATCATTTTTAGATGAAGGGAGTAGTAATGTTTTGCAAAAGCAATCAGATAGATTATTTTGCTATCTCTATGTGCAAATACATTGGATGGATAATGTGCCCTCTTTTTCCTTGCACCATAAAATATATCGCGCATTTATTCTTACACCATAAATATATTCTGATTGTACATTTATTTAAGCTTGTAGCTATTTTTATTTAAAAAATTCAAAGTAAGAAAAGTTTAACTTACAACGAGGCCAAAGTGAATTATAACTTAATTATTTCTATCATTTTAGTGTACCTGACCCCCGGCGCTATTTCTGGCTGGCTTGGCCCATGTTGTGCAGTTACTTTCCCAAATACACTAGCTGCCCATTCTTAATTTGTGTACTACTGAAGTCCAGCATCTAGGATCGTCAGTAGCTTTGTGCACAGTGCACTTGGTGGCCATTTTCCGTTGAAGAAGAAAAGGACACAGTTTAAAATCAATATCCAAAAAAGATGGTTTGCCATACAATTCGCATGCACATTGCACAATGAACCAACCAAGGCAACTCCCATTTGGGGTCATATGTATCAATGGTCGAATAATTTTTTTGAAGCTACATGGAGTAGCAATATGTAGCTGTATCAACCCAAATAGGCAAATATTTAGTGACGAAGGTAGTTTTTTTTTTTTTTTTGGAGCAAAACAAAGGTAGTTGTTACATCGGTTACTCATTTTTGAGGGAAGAAAGAGAGGACCCAACCCAAGAAAGGCCCAACCCAGACGGGCAGCCCAGGTTGGCTCTTGTGGGGCAGCTATAGCCCATGTAGACAGAACAAGTTTCAACAGCCACTGATGACTGATCTTTCCCTCGCGCAATGGCGATACGAGTGCGTGAGTGTATATGTACATGTATATCTACTGTTTTTTTCCTTCTGTTTGTACAATATCATTCTAAAATTGAATGTACGGTACGGTGAAAGATTGTACGCAATCACCTACTACTGCAAGCTTAGGCCATGTTTAGTTCGCCCGGCGAAAGATGTACGGTACGGTGAAAGATGGTACGAAATCACTGTAGTTACAGTAGCACTTTGTTTTTACTTAGTAATAATTATTTAATCGTTGACTAATTAGGCTCAAAACGTTCGTCTCGCAGAGTACAACCAAACTGTACAATTAGTTTTTTATTTCGTCAACATTTAGTACTCCATGCATGTACCGCAAATTTAATGTGATGAAAAATCTTTTTTTTGCATAGTGTTAAATTCAGAAATTTGGGGGAACTAAACATGGCCTTAGCTCAATCCCCAAGAGGCAGAGATGGCGTTTGATAGAGGCAAAGAATGTACATCGTTCAATGATTGCCTGACAGAGGTGATAGCCGACAGCACCTCAGCAAACAAGTCGAGGCCTTCAATTGGAAGATCGCTGAAGAAACCTCATGGTTTGACCAGAGCGGCAGATAGAGTGCCCCCAAGTGCACGGAGCTCTCGCTAGCGACGACGACGACGACGGCGCCCGCTCGATTGGTGATTTGGTGCTTTGCCTGTGGCGTGCCGAGGAGCCGAGCCAAATCCTTCGTTTGACCAACTGGCGCGTGAGTGTGACTGCCAGCTTATCTCTTCCCTCGCTTAATTCTGGGGCCCGGCGGCCGGCGCGGTGGGGCACGGCGGCTGCGATGTCGGCCACGACACTGTATATATAAAAAATGCTACTAAACGCTACAAGATCGCTCCTGCGTCCACCGGTTTGCGGCGTGGGGATCTCGGCCCTGATTGACCTGACCGTACCCGGAGCTCGGAGGCAGGCGCGATGGCAGTTCTGGCCGCGGTGAGCGCCGGAGCCGGGCAGGGCAAGGAGTACCCCGGCGGGCTCACCCTCTACGTCCTCCTCACCTGCGCCGTCGCTGCCACCGGGGGCCTTATCGTCGGCTACGACATCGGCATATCCGGTAACCACCGTCCAAGCTCTCCGTCTCCCATCCTTCGGTGTGCTCCACTTCTGCGACTAGGTGTTGGCTGTGTGGTTGTGGACTTGTGGTTGTAGTTGTAGCTTAGCTGGGTGCCTGGGTAGGGATCACCGCTTCGGCGCTCGGCGGTGATTGCTGTACGTGGATTATGGAAACATACTCGCTTTCTCTAACTACTACCAAAGTACTCGAGCCATTAGTCACATTTGGGGATGTTTCAACTTTCTTTTAGAATTAGACAGTACAATGTAAACACGCACGCACGCTCACCCCTATAAACATACGTAAACAAACCCTACCGCTATGAACACTTTCGGAGGACTGAGCCGGCAGATCTCGAAATTCACGAAATCACGACAGACGTCTCACTGTCGACGGGGACGTCGTCTACCATTGCAAGTCAACAATTATGAAAGCAGATTAGTACTAACAACAAAGATACATCGAGACACTAACACCAAATCACCAATGCACATAATTGCATAATTTTCTAAAACACCTCACGTAAGGAGTTTAATGTCTCGTGCTACTCCGTTTTAAATCGTAAGCCATTCCCATTTATACCTTTTCTAGTACATAGTTTTTTTTATATATATACCTAGATATATAATATATCTGAGACATAATAAAAACTATGTATCTAGAAAATCCATCCAAAATGACTTACAATTTGAAACCAAATTCGAAACCGACGGAGTGGAAAAGTTAAGCTTAGTTACAAAATTACAGGAGTTCGGAAGTTATCTAGAGCAAGTTGTGAAATCACGCTGGTAAAAGTAAAACTTTGAAGTGACCAGGTTGACCATGCTTTGCTGTAGTGCCGCCACAAAAGAATTCTAGCTTCTGCCCATCCAGCAGGATGACTCTGTAGTCTGTACACACATGCGCAGGCGGCGTGACATCCATGGACGCATTCCTGCACAAGTTCTTCCCGTCGGTGTACCGCAAGGAGCAGACGGCGCGGGGAGGCGGCAGCAGCCAGTACTGCAAGTTCGACAGCCAGCTGCTTACCGCGTTCACGTCGTCGCTGTACCTGGCGGCGCTCGTCGCCTCCTTCTTCGTCGCGTCCGTGGCGCGCTCCCTCGGCCGGAAATGGTCCATGTTCGGCGGCGGCGTCTCCTTCCTCGCCGGCGCCACCCTCAACGCCGCTGCGCAGGACGTCGCCATGCTCATCGTCGGCCGCATCCTTCTCGGCATCGGCGTCAGCTTCGCTGCTCTGGTAAGTTAATGTTTAATACAGACTCAGAGTCAGAGCTGCCTCCAACATTGTAGGATTACTTGGTGAAGAAATGAACCAAACATAGCATTCTCTGTTCTGCTACACATTGTGTTGCAGTGCATCCCGATCTACCTGTCGGAGATGGCGCCGCACCGCCTCCGCGGCACGCTGAACATCGGCTTCCAGCTGATGATCACCGTGGGCATCTTCTCCGCCAACCTCGTCAACTACGGCGCCGCCAAGATCGAAGGCGGCTGGGGCTGGCGGCTCAGCCTCGGGCTCGCCGCGGTCCCGGCGGCCGTAATCACCGTGGGCTCGCTGTTCCTCCCGGACACGCCAAGCTCCCTCATCCGCCGCGGCTACCACGAGCAGGCGCGGCAGGTCCTCGCCCGGATCCGTGGCGCCGACGTCGACGTGGCCGACGAGTACGGCGACCTCGTGGCGGCGGCCAGAGAGGCGTCCGGCGCCGTCGACGTCAGGCGCCCGTGGCAGGACATCCTCGGGCGCAGGTCGTACCGGCCGCAGCTCACCATGGCCGTCCTCGTGCCCTTCTTCCAGCAGCTCACCGGCATCAACGTCATAATGTTCTACGCGCCCGTCCTGTTCAAGACGATCGGGCTCGGAGGGGACGCGTCGCTCATGTCGGCGGTCATCACCGGGCTGGTCAACATCGTCGCGACGTTCGTGTCCATCGCCACCGTCGACGGGCTCGGCCGGCGCAAGCTCTTCTTCCAGGGAGGGTGCCAGATGCTCGTCTGCCAGGTCGTCATCGGAACGCTGATCGGCGTCGAGTTCGGGGCGAGCGGAGACGGAGCCGCCATCCCGAAGAACTCTGCGGCCACCGTCGTGGCGTTCATCTGCATCTACGTCGCCGGCTTCGCGTGGTCGTGGGGCCCGCTCGGTATCCTGGTGCCCAGCGAGATCTTCCCGCTGGAGATCCGGCCGGCGGGGCAGGGCATCAGCGTGGCCGTCAGCATGCTGTGCAACTTCGCCGTCGCGCAGTCCTTCCTCCCGATGCTCTGCCACTTGAGGTTCGGGCTCTTCTACTTCTTCGGCGGGTGGGTGCTCGTGATGACGCTCTTCGTCGCCATGTTCCTGCCGGAGACGAAGGGCGTGCCCGTTGAGAAGATGGGGGCTGTGTGGAGGACACACTGGTTTTGGGGAAGGTTCGTCACTGATATGGACGGCCGTGATGAAAACTGCGACTCCGCCTTCCACAAGGGCAATGGCATTGCTGTTAGAGAGCCGTAGGCGTCCTGTGTACATGGGGATCGGATGGTGCAAGTGAAACACATGAAACACGGTGGGCGGGTTGAGCTACACAGAAGGGTTTCTCTTAGGGCTCATTCGGTTAGGGGATTCCTGGCCTGAAATCGTTCCACTCATTTACAGTCCGGGCCGTTTGCATCCTTTTATTTTGGAGGAATTGAAATTTACATAATGGATTATGCTATTTAAATTAGAATTTGACATTCTATAATTTTTTCAAACTCACAAATAAGCCTATCTCAAATTCATAGGATTAAAGATGAAAATGGATTCTATAGATCACTATGACATAATTCTATTCTCCAACTTATAGCATAATCTTTAACTCACTTTCCTACGATAGAAATGCAGCATATAAATATGTCCCTTGTATGCCTATATAACAATAAATATACAAATGTATTCCATATACAACTATATTATCTTAATTAATCTATGCCTAAATTGTAATTATTAAAATAAATTCAATTCCAAGAATTCAAACGGGTCTTATATAAATTAGACTACCATTCCTTATAGGAATTGGTTCCGTGGCACTGTTTTCCCATAAACGAACGATGCCTTACACTTTTTCTAAAAAAGCAGGCACCTAGTTCAGACGATAACGTGATCTTTTGATCTTCCTTTAAGATTCATACATCTAATCTATTAGATCTTCATCTCATGGCTCATAGTCGTTGCCAGAACAAAAATGATATATTTCAGGCACTTGAAAAATAGAAAATCCCTTTTTTATGTTGGGGTGGGTTAGGGGTTTTTTTTTTTTTTTTTGGGGGAGTACACAAAATGTTGGCAAGCAACTACTGTTTCGAATTTCTACATGATATACAAAATTATACGACAAATATAAGAAGCAAATCTGCAAATGAAGAAGCGCATATAAACTTATAAATCTATATTATAGTTCTCGTTAAATTGCAAAATGTTTTCGTCACTGCATTGGACTTAAAAAATAAACAATGTTATTAGAAAAGTGAGAGAATAAATTTGTAGTAATTAGTCCATGAACCATGTTCCTACATGGGTATTAAGTTTAACGGAGCCAAAATGTTACAAATTTATGGATAACTCTAGAGTGCACAGATAACCTGAATTGTTTGTCTTTGCTCATTTTAATTTGTTCATATTGTAAGACAACTCTAAATGGTGCTCCCTCAATCCTACAAAAATACCTACTTCTATACATTCACACACAGATTAAGAAGAGCTTATATAAAGCACCAAATTTCTTATATTGCATAAGTTGTTTTAGGATAATACTTTAAAAATAATTTAAGATATAAGAAAACATTACTATAGCAGATTATCTAAAATTTCTCTCCTGTTTCTGTACAGATAAGGAAGAGGGATTTGTCTACTTTATTTATAAAAAATAAAGTTGGTTCTTTGTAGGATATCTCTTGAAAATACTCCCTCAGTGCCCTTTTGATCATCATGTTTGATCGCTTCACAAGACTTAGTTTGGGACTGTTTCGCTCCATCAACTCTACTATGGAGCAGTTCCACCGTGGAGTTCGTGGAGCAGGTGGTACTGTTTGGCACACAACCTAGCACCAGCTCTAGGAATGGGTTGTTTCCCTGCAAATGATCTATTACGCCCCTGATTTACTTTTGTTTATTCAATAATACTCAGCACATGCGTTAGTGTTTAATATTATTTATTTAATGGGTTTTCCTTTTTTGGAAATAAAGATTTGAATAATTAAAAAAGTTAAGAATGTTGACTGTCCTAGGCCACTCAAGGCCCAAAGGCCGAGCAGCCCAGCTGGCCAACGAACTTACCTTTTCCCCTTGCTGGAGCAAGCACGGGAGAAGGAAGGGTCGCGGCCATCACACGTACTGTGGAGGGGAGTCTGTGATCGTTGTTAATGAGCGGTACGGTGAGTAATTACTTCTCAACTCCGTATGGGAGTACACAACTTTAAAAACTGGAGTACCTCTTGAGATGTTCCAGAAAAAACATGGAGTTAGCCTCCAACTCTACATTTTTCTTGGAGCGGAGTTTGTGAAGCTAAAAGTGTTTAGCAACACAGAGCTAGAGCGGAGCTGCCAAAACGGAAGCGGAGCAGTTCCAAACACCCCCTAGGACAGAGGAAAAGTCACACTAATGCTGCCAGCCCATGTGTTTGGGAAGCATATTCGCCCATACGAAGGCACACTTGTCTTCCATGTTTCAGCGATCTGTGCACACAGAGCCAACCATGAGTTGCGCAACACATGTTCATATTATGACACAAACACAGCTCAATAAGGTATCCCCCCGTCTCAGAGTACAATAACTTCTAGACATTGATACTCAGGTAGTCAGGTTAAAAAGAATTATATAAAGTCTAATTTGTTGCCCTTCAGTAAACACATCCCACTATATGCACGGATCAGCTCCCATATTGTTCAGCGCTTTCATTTTGTAGCGGTGTCTGCCAAAAGCATTTACGTGTCAACATAATTAAGAAAGTAATGTGACTAGTGCACCTACATTGAAAAGTGATTAGTGCACCAACCGAAATTGAAATAATAGACAAAAGAAGTGAAAAATGAGGGGTATTTCTGTCATACCACCCTTTGAAAATCCCTTAGAACTCAGAAGTAGCTATATTTTGGGACAAATTTTGGATGATATAAGTAGACATTTTTTGAGACGTAGGTACTCCTTTCATATATTTATCTAGTTTTAATGCACTTTATTTACCGATTAATGGAACGAACTAATCCATTTGACATAACTAATCCATAAATGGATGATCAAAAAGTGTTCTGTATCCATAAAATTCACCCATGCATAGGCCTAGGCATAAGTGAGACGCAATTTGGGATGAGGGAACTTGTTCTGGACGCCTTTAGGGCAGCTCCGGAAACAGAGAAGCCAAGAAATGCCATGTTTTTGTGGCTTCGTCTTCTAGCCCTTAAACGGCTTTGGTTTTACTGTTTTTGGCTTCTCTGTTCTCGTGTGTACTCGTTTGATAGAACTTTTAAATAAGCTGGTAGAGAAGTCTCTATAGAAGTCTCACCAAAGAGGGCCTTGATGGAAGCATATTGAAAAATGGGACATGATAATCCATGCAAAACTCGGCAAGCCGTCTTGACCCGGAATGCATCGCTGCCGACTAGTCGGACAGCAGCGCCGCGCCGACCCGCCTCCAGGTGACGCGGTATTCAGCAGAGTGCGGCCCACCCTCAGCCCAGGAACGTGGAAAGTTCCAGGTACGTTTGTTTTTTTTTTCTTTTTTTTTCTATTAAGTCTGTCGTACGCGTCTTCCACGTACGTGTTTTTCTCTATTTCTTTTTTCTTCTTTCTTTTTCTTTCCTTTCTACTATTTCTTTTTTCTTTTCTTTTCTCTTTTATTTTTTGTTGTGTTCTTTATTCTTGTCATCTTTTTTTTATTTCTTTTCATCTTTTATTCTTTTTTATTTTTTTTTCTTTTCTTCTATTTCTTTTTTCCTTTCCTTTCTTTTTTCATTTTCTTCTTCGGTGGTCTTTTATTATTCTTTTTGTTTTCTTTTCTATTGTATGTTTTCCTTTTCTTTTTCTTTCCTTTCATTCATTTACTTTTCTTTTCTTTTTTTCTTTTTCGTGGACTTTTGTCATTCTTTTCATTTTCTTTATTCTTTACTATTTTATTTTACTCTATTAATTTTTATTTTCTTTTTCTTTTTTGTTTCCTTTCCTAGCTTCTATTTAGTTTTTATTTTTCTTTCTTTTTTGTTTTCTTATCTTTTTATTTTTAATGTTTATACATTTTTAATTTCTTCTTTTGATAGAAATAATAATTTTGTTTATTTCATTTTTTTGTTTTCGTATTTTATTCTTTTTTATTTTCCTTTCTTTCCTTCTATATATAATTTGATGTTTCACTTTTTTTATTTACAGATACACGTGATGTTTATGTAGTATACATGTAATGTTCTATCTTGTATTTTTTATGTCCGCGAGTAAAAATGTGATGTTCTACGATATATTTTATGATGTTCAGTAAACACATATTGATGTTCTAAGATACATTTTGTTATATTCGGTAGCATTTTTTTTATTAAACTCTAATTAATTACTTTAATAATTTATTTATGTTTTTACATTTTTATTATATTTATGATGTTCACGTAGTATACATATGATGTTATATGCTATATTTAGTAATGTTCGTATAGTCTTAATGTTATGTTCTATGATGTATTTGTGATGTTCGGTAGCATTTTTTTCTTATTTTTATTTGACTATAATTAATTACTTTACTAATTTTATTTTTTATTTTTTTATTTTTTATATTTTATGATATATGTGATGTTCGCGTAGTATATATATAATGTTCTATGCTATTTTTTGTGATGTTAATGTAGTGTTAATGTGATGTTCGACGATTATATTTAAATATAGGTTCATTATGTGATAAATGACCGTTAAAATTTTTTATCAAAATATATCCATGTGGGATTTCACTTTAAAGAGTTTATTGTAAGAAACACGATAGTGCAATCAAATTTTAATTAGGATACTTGGTTTAGGAGCTATGAATTTTTTTTACTTTTCAAAAAGCATGGGATACGTGATGACGTTAGCAATTTTGGATTTTACTGGCTGCCTGTCTGGTCCAATAAGATAATTGAATTAGACCCAATTTAGTAAAAGAAGTGGCGGAGGAAATTATTTGTTTGGGAAGAGGAGGGGGTCGATAGGCTGGAAAATTATATTTCTATCTGCCACATGTAAGCCGATAGGCGCCCCAACCCAACTCAGCAACCAGAGAAAATGCATCATTGGCCCATGCAAACCAATCCAACCCAGATTTTAGTGTCAAAGCAACCTACTGAACCTGGCCTATGAATAGGGCTAACGTGTATGGTTAGTTCTTTTTTTTAAACAAATTAGGCATGAGAGCTGCCGATTATATTAAAAAGAAGACAAGCCCAAAGTAAGCACAATGGTACAATAGCGACCAACAATTACGTCGGATAACAAACTCAATAAAAAGGAAAAAAACAACTCG